TTTAGAGGCAAGATGCAGTGAATCTGCACTTGTGCTTGTGTGTACTCCCATGCAGATGCACCTGGATGCAAAATGGGACTGAGCACAAGGTAACTGTATTTGGAATACTTTCAGCGTTTAGAAGAACAGTAACCCTCCGCTCCAGGCTGTGCTCCAGAAGAAGGTTCAGAGCTATAGAGACCTTTGCTCTGGGCATCTGTATATCATGTCCCTCTTAGAAATGGAGGATTTGTTCTTACTGAGTTAATCAGGCTTTTGCTAATTTTAAATTCAAGTAGCAAACTGTGGATGCTGCAATGGAAATAGCATCGGGATCTTCATGAAACATATTTCCTTTCTCATTGCAGTGGTCATAGAAAGGAGCAGGCTTTCCCTGGAAGTGAACTACTTCAACTCTTCAGATGAAGAGGGAGGGGATAGAAGGTCTGTTCATCTCAACAGCCTCAAGGTAAAATATGGAGGGTCTTTACATACACCCATCCTTTATAAAAACTTCACAGTGCAATCCGTAGGCAGTATCTGCACACCAGCTGACAGTGCCACTGGCAGGCAGACTGAATAATGCCACAGTTCTGCTGCCCAACCCCACCTCAGCCCAGTTATTCAGCTGGGGCTACTTTTCTCTCCTCTCCTCTTCACTATAAATGTATGGTAACCAAATTGTCCTCAAATCTTCCAGCCCACTTTCAAATTTGATTGAAATTCATCAGTTCAAAAGTTATTGCTGGTAGAAAAATAGATGCAACTGCATGAGCCTTGATCCCCTTGAAAAATCACAGCTATATCTGCAATGCAGGCACAGGTGGGCTGTTGGTGAGCTGCAGAGCATCTGCTAGAAAAGACAAGGGAGCAAAAGGAGACAAATTCCCCAGCTGAGGTCAACCCATCAGTATCAAACCCCAACTTCTCCGCTATGTCCTGTTGCTACCAAGTGCATAAACCTGTAATCCCAACTGCAGTCACCACTGCTGACTTAATCCTATGTAGGTACATGTGCTCTGAACCATCTCAGCATCTGCAGAGTGCAGGTCTCCAGTGTGAAAGAAGACATCGTGCCCACCTCTTTCACCTTTAAGGCTTAAAGTCTCTTGTTGCCCCTCTGCCAAAGTAACACACATGTACTAGCCTACCAAAAGGTGAAATGTGGTGATTTCTCTCTTCCAGCTAAGAGCCATAAAAGCATCTTCCTGCTCAGATCTTTCATTAAAGCAAAGCCAACTAAATTAGCTGCCCTAGGGATCAGATGAAGGCCTGAAAAACATAAGGATTAATATTAAAGGGGGAAAGAAAAACAACTATTAACACTGGTAAATGTGTCTTAATTAAAACTTTTGAAAGCACAATTCAAACACACCCCAGTCATCTTCCAAGCCCCTGCAAACGTTAATGAGATTAATTTTTCTTACAGTTCCCCATTGATCCATGAAGTACAAAGAGGGAATCAGAACTGCAAGTGAAAAATTGGGTGTGCAGGGCTAGACGCTGATTGGATTTACAAGAATGTCGTTCCCATATGACCCCTTGCAGACCCCACTGGCATTATTCCCAGGAAGCCATGGTGGCAATTACTGGGTTGTGCTGTGTAGCCAAAGGTGCGCCTTGAATGACAGAAGCAAAAAGTGATGCTGAAAAAGTCCACCTCATGCACCAAATGTAATGAAAATCAAACTTGAGGTACTGTGGTTTTGCTTCTTCAGTGGAAAAGGAGGAGACAATTACATCTTTGATGTATGGATAACAAAAATTTTTATTTTAATCAAAAATATCCCCCCCAGTTGCACGCTGTTTCCAAGCCTCTAAGAACCCAGCCCAACAGCAGGAGAAAGAACAGACTCTGCAAACTTCCTTGCAGAAAAGAGAGCAGACTTGGTCTCCTACAATTAGCAATAAACATCACCTACTTACCTAAAGACAAACACAAGGGTTCTTTAGGCGTGCAAGTCTTTTAAGATCTGTTTAACCCAGCATAATGCAGAAAGATCACAGGCTTGATTTAGACTGGGTCAGGGCTAGCTATTTGCTTAGAGCAAATGCTGTGTTTACCCTGGGATAAATCAGCGAGCTTTTGCTTGCCCGCTTAGTCTCATCCTCTCCATGCTCAGGATTTCTGCTCACACAGGAACAGCTACACAGTGGGAAATTTAGAGAGTGGAAACCACCCCACAGAGTGCTCCACATACCCTGTGCTGGTCTGGAGGAGGTGATCTACACGTGCGGTCCAGTGAAAGTGGGCAAAATTCCCATCAGTGACCCCGAGGAAACTTCAGGGAGAAGAGGATCTGCCTCATTTTCCTGGGTTGGATGTCAGATGAGACATGTCACTGCTCCAATACTCATGCAAATGGATTTGGGTCACAGAGCAGTGTCCCAGGAGATGGCACCTGGTTGGAATGACACATGGCAATGGGACAGCAGTCCCAGTGTCCAGTCACAGGTTTCTTCACGGCACAAAAATTCACAGAGAAAATGAACAAGTATTTGTATAGCATGGGCTTGGAGGAGTTTGCTATTCTTTGTCAGTTATTTGCGGGGGGAGTTTTTTGGTGGGGTTTTTGGTGGTTTTAGGAGGTTTTTGTGGTGGGTTGAGAATAGTACCTAGCACTATTAATACTACTGTTCGTTAGTGAGTACTGCTACTTTCTTGGAGAAAAGAACTGGAGAAACTTCCTCAGCAGAATTGTAAAAGGGTCATTAGGAAAATGAAAAGTTGATTTGGAAGAGCTGTAAATGCGCAATTTTATGGAAAGAAGGAGAGAAGGGAAGGCAGCAGGAAAAAACATGCCCTCTGCAGACACACGCTGCTTTCTTTAACTCACTATCTGGCTTTATAAACCCTGTTAGCAGTGAAAGGGCAGGTCCTGGAGAAGGTCCTTAGCTCCCCAGGACAACGTCTGTGGTGGCACAGATGCAGGACACCACAGCAGGACAGCAGAAGGCAGAACAAGTCAGGTTTGCATGGGTCAGAGCACCAACCTTCAGACACCCAAGAGCTGATTCGTCAAAGCCACAGGCAACCTCCTAGGCAAGAAGAGAGCCCAAGGCACTGCTAGTTTTGGATGAAACAGGGCCACAGCCCTTGGGGTTTGTCCCTGCTCCACTGAGAACAACTCTCTGTGAGGTTTGCACCTGCCATTGGCTTATGTTCAGGGGAAGAGGCTCCACACAAGGGGACCCCAGTCTTCCCAGCATTCAGGTCGGGGGTGATGCGGGAGTGGCTGCTTGGGGTGTGCTGTGGGTGCCAGGACGAGGCAAGGCTGGGCTCCTGCACCGTGAATTACCTTCTGGTGCCCTCTACTGACAACAGCTAAGTAAGGTGGCCTTGTAACTCCTCCTCCCACTCGGCCCTCTGCATCTCACATCCTCTCTGCCTTCCTCAGTCATCGCACCGAACGCTGTCAAAGGACTGCTAGTGGTACCCCAAGACGCTCGTTTTAAGCAAGGAAAAAAAATCTGTGCTCTAGGAAGAATCCCCCAAATCCCTCACACTGGACCCCTTTTGACTCCAGTCAAAAGGCTGTTGAGCTCACCAGGAAACAGAGAAGAGACAGAGATCCTGCAGGAAGCCGGAACCCCTTTCTAATGCATCACGTGGCAGAGGGACAAAACGGCTCTTGCAGCACACAGGAGATGTGTTGGGATCTGGTGGTGAGGTTCTCAACCACCCCTTTCTTGTATGTTGGAGGACTTGACTATAGGCTTACAAAGACACCCCCCAAGAGTCTCTCAGTGAGGTTGGAACTGGGGGAGGGGACAAAAAAATCCCCCGTACAGTCCCTCTCATTCTCTCTCAATGTTTTCCACAGGCTTTGGGGCCTGATTCAGAAGCTCTGTACAAGTTGGACTGATGATAAATGTGACTCACCATGCTTGCCCCATTCCTTCTTGGTGAGACGTTTCAACAGAGGATTTACCTAATCCCTTCCTACAAGGAAACACTAAGCTTATTTTCCTCCAGCTTCTTATGTACCATCCATACTGCCCTGTATTAGGGCTTTCCTTCAGGCAGTAAGAAGTCTTTGCTCAGAAAGGAGCACACTTCATTGCTGGGACAAGTGAAAGGCAACCACCACCTTCCTGCTCACCCGAAACAAGTGTACATACACAGAATGAGGTCCGCCACTCTCAGCCCTTCAATGAGATGTCAGTTCATCTCCCAGTCTCCTGAATCTGGCAACTGCTTATTTCAGGTCCATCACAAGGTCTGGCAACCAAACACTTTCCCCAGACTTGCAAGCTTCTCAGCATGGACCAACACTGCCCAAAGACTCCCTGGAAAACAAGTACTGACCCTGGGGAATCCAACCCCAGAGCTGAAAAGCTCTGCAAGCCACAGAGAGCCAAACTACCCATCTCTCTGTCTTCATTTTGCTCTCTGGAGAACACCTAGAGAAAACCTCACCTCCTCTGAGCCTAACGCAGCCCTTTCGTGTTGTCAAAACACCTTTTGTAAATGTGAGGCACAGTGTTTTCCTCTGCCACTGAAACCAAAATCCTCTTCCTACTGGCTCTGCTCCACACAGCCCCCTCCTAAAGCTTCCTTGTCTCCCTCACCCAAACCACACATCTCCATGCCAAGGAAGCAAGACACTGGCCCCACTCAGGCTTCTACCCCCACAGACACCCATATACAGGTCAAGAACTCCACCCCCAAGGCTTACTGCCTATTTCATAGGCATTAATTACCCCATGAATTCTAAAGCACATGACTGTTTCTCTCCTCACCCCCGCACCTCTTTGCAGTGTTACATCACACGTATCTGCCTCTGCTCCTGCGCACCCCATCAGGATCACAAAGCACATGTCCCTGTGTGATGCAGGACTGGTGCTGCTAACACCGAGCCAGGGTTTTGTGGGCTTCCAGGTATGCAGTCATCAGCAGGAGACAACGTCTGCATCAGAGTTGCGATGATTCAGGGGCTTTTAGGGTATTTTTTTTTCTTTCCTCCCAGCCAATAAGAGCACTCAGAGAGGCCCATCTTCCCTTGCAGGAAGCAAGGGAGGTCACTCCTCTCGCTGGCGGGCTGCTCTTCTGAATTGGTGGAGATGGCAGCGAACTTCGCCTGCAGCTTCACCACACTCTGCTGTTTAGTGCTCTGGGGCTTCACCGGGACTTCAGATGGTAAGGAAAATAATTTCTTGTTTTCCCTGTGCTTTTGGTGCTGTGAGTGCTGCTCTCTAACACACAGGTAAATAACAACCCTTCTCCAACTGCTGCCCATGCTGGCTCAGTGCTGCAGGGTTCAGACTGCAGGTGAAACTTCATCTGCTTAAAAGACTTTCTCCCGTTGTAGCGAACCATGTTATCCAGCGACATCATCTAAGGATTTCAAAGTCAAGTTATGGTTTTAACTTACTTGTCAGTGTTTAAACTCTGCATGACCTTGATTATTAAATCTAAGGACTGTGGGTAACAATTTGACTTCCAAGTACAGATGGGCACTTGAGTGCCGATTAGCTGACTTTAATGAAACATTACTCCGTATCATTTCTTTCTTTGCTGAGCAAGGAAACTCTTGATTGCAGCTGGCCTTAAATCTTTAGAATGGAAGCTGCAGACAGGAGCGTTTTCTCTCTGAAGGTTTTAGCTCTACTTCAGTTTTACTTTGTCTCCCATATACAAAAAGTACTAATGCACTCAGGAATCGTGTTTGGTAAGCCAGCAGCTTTTTGTTTCGGCTGTGGTTTCCTCTGAGGGTTGTAGAGGCATGCAGGAACTCTGCTGCATCTTAAATGTAAAGATAGAGCCTAGCCCTGCTCCTGTTAATGGGGAGGTTTTGAAGGGACCTCGTTAAAAAAAACAACAACAACCAAAAAGCAACCTGTTGCAATCTGCCAGTTTGCTTCACCGCAGGCTGGGAGAGTGCATCCACAGAACTACTCTTTCATGCTGCTATAGGGTCTCCAAATTATTCCTCAGTGAAGAAAGCACAAGAGAGGGCCTCTTAATACAGCATTCAACTCATCAGTGCAAGAACAGCCCTCTCTTGCTTAATAACGGGCAGCTGCCTGTTAACTCAGAGGAAGAGAACAGCCTACCCCACCATCATCTGGCAGAAGTAGGAGGGCCAGATTTTTCCACAGTCTCTTCACATTTCCAAACCGAGAAGCAAGCATGGAGTCTGAAATACAAATGCTCTGGACATAAGGACCTCCCAGTGGAGCATTAAGAGCCATTTTCCCAGGTCATGAGATCACATCCTCTGGTCTTCTGAGTGTTATAGGTGCCTGGCCAGGTCACACAGTGCCTCTGCTCCCACCCAGGCCTGGACTACGCATGTTTAACCAATACTGGTAAGCCTAAAGCCTTGCACTGTTATCTTACCCTCTGGGCCATTCTGCTTTGCCCTTGGAGTGGGGTCATCACCTCATACACATTCAGCTTTTTAAGGTAATGACCCTCAAGGGTCAGCTAGGGAAAAGGCTGTCAGGAAAGATTGCAGTGAAAAAAATCAGAACTACATATGCCTCACAGCAGAGAGTATCTGGGTTTTGGAAATACAGTGGTGGAAACTATTCCAAATAGCAAAAGATATTTCAGACCAGCATGTGCTCCATGTAGTGACCACGTTGAATGAGAATGAAAGCACATCAAGAAAAACAGATTCTAGCCTTGAGGAATCTGGGTCACCAGAGGAAAACAGCAGGGTAAAGCTCTCCCACAAGGGCTCAGTAGATTTTATACCGACTCTGCTCTGGTATGAGTCATTCTATAATGTCAGCTTGCAATGGGTGAAGGAGGTGAAATGCCCAGTACCCCTTGGTGAAAGCTGGGGCAAAAGCCTATCATCTGCCTACACCACATGGTATATTACCAGCCTGCTACCTGTCTACAACATATGGTCCAGCTTGCAAGACTGAGCCCACCTCTCCAGATGTTGCATTTCGGAGGCCTTGCCATATGTGACCCTGGTGGTTCTACCAGGCACTGGAGTGAGGAACAAGGGCTGTTTGGAGTCTTGCTTTGAGAAACACATTTCATAGTTTTCTTCCTGTACACACAGTGTCACTTCAGCCAGTATCGCTCACCCTGCCACCCCACACCTAAAAAAGACGTCACCACGAGTCAAGAGGTGTTGAGAGCTATTAAGCCACAAAGGGAGCTTGTGCTAAGACTGAAAAAGACTGCGGTTATCTCCTCCTAATACAAGGGACGGCATCTTCTGTCAGCACACCCACCACTGCCACATCTGACTTTCCAACAGGCATAAGAGCATAGATTCAAGCAAGGTCCTGGAGAGCAATCAGAAGAGCCCAAGCCTGTCTCAGTTGCTAGGTGAGCTCAGGAAAAAGCTCGTTCCTATAAGCTACTGAGTTGATATTGATGGCACAGGGAAAAGCACTGCATCCCTGAGGAAGAGGACAGCTTGCCTTATGAGCAAGGCCCAAACCAAGGCCCTGCATTGCCCCTCAGACTTCTAACTTCTCTTCAACACTGCCAGGTTGCCCAGCACTGGCTGCACATCCAGTCCCAATGTAGATCAAAGACGTGCGACAGGAAAGCTTGCTGCCTCCACACCAGACACAAAGCCACTTGCAGAACATCTGCTCCTCTCAAGACACATGGCCAGTGTCTCTCAGCTCTCACCTGCAAGAAAATATGAGGGTCATTAAGGTAGCTGGCTTATCAGCCAGGAAGAGATGTGAATTTGGACATCCCTGGGAGGAGGAAGGACATGGAACTGAGTCTCTCCTTTGCAGGTCAACACTTTAGTCCCTGAGCAGCGTTACAAGGGTGTGCAGCCATTGCCACCCACAGGGGAGGGTGTGATAGTGTAACTAGGACATACGTCAGCAACCGGAGAGCTGAATTTTTGCAGCCTCCTGTGCTGATAATGGCATGTAATGCAGGAGTTTTGTTGTTTTTTTTTTTAAATAGACTCTGGGTCACCAGGTGGTCTCTCTCTCTTCTACTTGGGTTTCTTGGTACAAACTGTCTTAAACATAGAGTCTATGCTCTGTGGTTGGCTGTTGGTGAGAGATCTAGCTGTGAAAGAAAAGCTGGAGGTGATAAAAAGTTTGACTTTCACAGCAAATTCAGTACAAGCTCTGTGTGCACATGCACACGCAGGCTTACTGCGTGCACGCACACACACACATAGCCTGAACTCCAAAGGCCACCTCCTGCACTGGCACATCTTGGCATCAGCTGTGGCTGCACGGCAACTTGCACAGGTTGAGAATTTCTTCCTCTTGTTTTTGTATTTCAGAAGTGGGAAAATGGAGAGGAAGGCAAATGTGAAAGGGGAGGAAATAACATCAACTGTAAGCTTTGAGCTTCTGTTGAATTATTGAAAAAACAAGCAGGGCATGGGGAAATAAGCTAGTAAGAATTATGTAGTAATGAGGGCTGTGCAGAAAGAACTGCTCAAACTTGAAAGCTTGTGGGTACACCCTCACCCCCTAATCTCCATTTCCTACACAACTCACTCCTTCCACTTCATGGCTCTGATAATAAGATGCTCCTTGCCATCTGGGGCAGGGCAACAGCACTTCAGCACACAAAGCAGGCTGTTCACCAGGGTGGTGGGGAGCTAGACCAAGCTCTGCCCTGGGCCCTTCCCTGCCCAGCTGGAGAACTGGGACACCCTCTCCTTTACCAGCTTGTAGAGGGAGCATATCTTACCCCCACCTTTATCACCACATAAATCACTCTAAAATACAAACCTCAAGATGCCACCAAAGGATTAAAGAGGGGTGGGAAAGAG